TCCAGTGAAATCCAATAAAAACGAAAGAAATAAGGAAAACATCATTTTGTGCTGTTCTAAAAGTGCTAGACGAGGACGGACTAGAATAAGGAAGAGAATTAATGGTAATCAACACATAATGCACCGTAGCGTAGAAGAAGGTCTATTTTTGCGGGAACGCCCATTTTTAGCGTCTTAGTATCTTAGCTTTGTGCAGTGAAACCAGGAAAATCTTTGCCATTTTGTGTGGGTGTGTGTGTGGGGGGGGGGGGGGGAGCGGTTCGTTGTTTACTCGAAGTCCGTTGTTTATTCTGAGCCAGTTGAATGAGTGTGACTTTAATTGATTTTTAGTGGTTTTATTGCTTATTGGTTTGAATGCTTGGTTTATAACTTTGACAAAATTATTTCAGAGTTTCGCTCGTGCTCAACGATCTCATTCGCGAAATGTGACAGCTTACCGAGGCTGAACTTGGAGTTCTTCTGGGTATTTCACGCAAGAAGGTGGTGACCTTCCCTTCACATTTGCTGTCCGCTCGTCCAGATTTTCTGGAAGCGTTTTAACCTTGACGACAGGCCGAAACCATCAGGTATTCGTTTGAGAAAAACTTGTCTGTGCTACTCTTTGGTATGTTCTAATTTCTGCAAGGAGAATCCATTAAAATAACAAGGGTCGCATATATTCCAGGGCACATTATATTGTTTGTGAAGTGGCTGTCAATACGACCCCCCCCCCTCACCAAACACTGTCTTGGTTCACCTCCTTTCACAACCTGTTGTGCCGTTGGCATACCTGCGCGAACTCCATGCGCCTCCGACCCGCATTTGTGAAGCGCCCTGAACGTGGAAATGGGACATACAGAAAGAACTTCTGTTAGCTCATAATACGACCTCTCCCGTCCCCTGCGCTCAATAAGATCCCTCTTATAGAGCACAGCTGAGAATACAGTTTTTCGTTCTGACGAAATTATGCGCCCTTACGGCTCTCAACTTATTCGCCTTCCACCCAGATTGTAACTCAAAACCTCGCGTTGGAAGTGTGTTTGTGCGGTCTGGCAGAGAGAGCGAGACGCGGTCGAAGAAGGCAGATGACACATAATTGAATGTAAAGAAGGCGCTGAAAACCCGTCGAAAAGCCCCCTATTGAAATCCCTGGCTGCATGCCATAATGGCGAAGAAAAGCGTGGTCGTCGAGTGCTACATTTGTTAATTCGGTTCTTTCCTCCTTCTACCGGCAGTATCTCCCTTTCGAAATGGGGAATGTTACTATCGAATACACCCCGAGGTAGCAGTTAACATTGAATAGGCTGAAGCGTCGCCTGTGGTCAGTGGCGGGGCATGTGGTTCGTCGCAAGTAGATAAACACTGTTCTTAACTGGGACTCTTCTGAAGAGCGGAAATATGCAACATCCTCTGTGCTTCCTGGCAGGACATACTGTTTGCATAAGAGGTGTTCTGTCGCTTGGACATTAATTGAACGCTGGTGTTGCTGTAAACCCTTTGTGTAGAGGGGACAAATGATACGAGGTAGTAAGCAAAGCCTCCTCTAAAATTTGTGCTGTGATCCTGAAATGTTTTGCCCTACGCTGCCGTCTCCCATCTACCACCCCTCCGCCTCCTCCTTCCTTCGACCTATCAGAAAAGGTGAACGTGTAACACATCCCATCTTATTTTCCAGCGAAAAACGACAGTCAGCTTTCATCTCCTCCGATTTTGGTTAGCGCTTTGCCGATTGTTTCTCAACAAACAAATGTGCTTGCTGCTCTTATGGTGAGTCATTCTTTCGTCATTCTTGATAAGCAGAATATTCTTCTTTCGATTGAAACATCTTGTAGCAATTCAAAATACTATTGTACGTTCAGAATAACCTCCTCCTTCATCATGCTGGGATCGATCTGGAAATCATTTGTATATGCTTAATGGAGAAGTGGAATGTCGTTACGTTTCTTCAGGCGGCAGTGTTATTTTGATCTACATAGCTTGTTCTTGATTACATAGTAGTAATAATTATGGTATAACCGCGTCTTGCGGTAAAATGGCGTTTCTGTTGCTATTTCGTAAATCATTAGAAATTGGTCCCAGTTGAGTGTAGCCTCACGAGGTAAACGAAGTAGTTGTCTGTCGTTATGCCTGACTTACTCTCCTCGGCAAGTCCATCTCGATCTCGCTGAGCGAGAGCAGCTCGTTATTCAGATCTGCTTTCATCTTCCCGCGATTCAAGCATTTCTTCGCGATTCAAGCGATTCAGTCGACAATAGTTTGACCGCAGCAGCGGTCGAGAAGAGTCTGACACTGACTGTGCTTGACATCGCAGCAGCATTACCATGCAACGCGGTCGATCGCATTTGTGCGAATTCTGTGCAGTGGATGAGAGTGGATCGTCCAGTTCACAAAATATGAACGCGATTTCGTAAAAATTGTAAGTTTGTATCCATGCCGAAAACACAGCAGTTGAAAAGTAGAGCAACAGCATTTCCCCTGACGTTACGCTGCCGATATCGGCTATACGTATAATGCAGAATACTCTTGTAAGTGTTGGGGCCCAGACGTTGAGTAACGCCCCGCGTTGAAGGACGGTGAGTTGTTGGCCGAAATATTGATGGCAAGATGACGAATGGTACAAAAGTGAAGAAAATTGCAGAAAAAACCGACTCGAAATGCCCCATATAGAAGTCCGTGATGAACCGCGCTTGTACGCGCAATTGGCGAACAAAAAGCTCGGTCAGAGGACTTTTCACCCTTAGGCAGCGTTCAGACTTCGCGACGGCAGCGCTTCGGTCGCGCGTTCGACGCGATCGATGCGCATGCTTTCGACTGCATCGATCGCGTCGAACGCGCGACCGAAGCGCTGCCATCGCGTAAGTCTGAACGCTGCCTTAGAAGTAAAAGTTGGGCGTTGCGGTGGCCAGTGGGTGGAGCGAGGGCTTCATCGTGAGCAGATAACGCTTTCATCACGTATTTTTGAACTGCGAAAACAGTTCTTCCATGCTTGCGGACAGGGCTACCATTTCCTTGAAGGGCGTCTGCACATCATATGAATGCGAAACGTGCCTAATAGCAGGACATTCCATAATCCAGTTCCCTGGATGTTTTGGCACATTTCTCTATCCGAACTCTAACGCGTAGATATGTAAAATTTTTCGAAGAAAAAAAAACAGGGAAGACAATAGCACAGGAAGGTGAAGATTTGGTGGGTACGTAGGGGATGTGGCAAGAGGATCGTGCCCAGAGCTTACCTCGTCGTATTAGGGAAATTCTGGACGCACTTCTTGAGCATTTGAATGTCATTCGTTACACCAACTTTGGGCCAAATATTGTTCAACGTTCAGGAATCGGCTTATGAGTACTTCGGGAGTTAAGTCACCCCAACTTCTTTTTATCTCTCTGCCCGTTATGGCCTTACTTCAGTCTCATAATCTCGTACTCTAACCTCCTGGCGGAGTTGTATTTTGGAATTTTGGGCATGAAGGTCAGGATCCAGTGTAGTGGCTATTTTTCAGCCACCTTTTCGCACCTCTTTTGGCTCGACGATCCGAGTGCTCATGTTTCATGTCGCCCATGCCTCATCGTCGGATACTCTGCATGATTTTCTCAAACACGTTGTCAATGTTGCGACACGGAGTGGTTATTTTTGTAATTAAAGGATCTCTGATAATGTAACGCCAGTTTGTTATTTACTAGGCGGATCAGCCAAGCTGTCGCCGAGCCACGCCTGGCCTTCACACGCGCTCCATGTTTCGGTGGGCGAGTTTTAGAAAGTGAAAAAAATGAGTCAATGAGACATAGTGGCGCGTTTGACCGAAAATGCACCAGTAGAAAAGCTGTCATCTTCACATATACTCATCTCTTACACACATCCCGAATCCCTACTTGTCGGCCTTACGCTTTCAAACATGTCCTCTCAAAAGAGTGGTAGAATCAACAGGTGAAAATGCAATTTGGAGCCCTCATGTTGGCACATATCCAACGCCGTAGAGCCCTTAATGATGTTAACGAACCTCTCCCAACAATATCTCAATTTAGGACAACGCAAGCAGTGTACTTGGCCTCCATAAACCTTGCTGATTTTCCGGATTTAAGGCGCGACCATGTATAAGTTGATCACCTAAACATTGATCACTGAGCTGTCTATGCGTGTACGCCTAAGCCTACCAAGGGCAGTACTAGTCGCTCAGAAATATATAATGGACGCTTATCTAGTTACTATATTCAACGTGAATATGCACTTACCTGATCACCTGGTCGTCGAAGTCTGCTGCTCCAAACCTTCAAGCTTGGCCCGAGGGGCGTTGTGAAACCCGGTTACGTTCGTGAAGGATGGGCGATGCACTGATGGTTAGTCAGGTCCCCTAGCGAGCTGTCTTATCTTTTCTGTACCCACACCATGAAGTGCCCCACTCTCCACACAATGACATCGCACTGCTGGAAGTGGACATCTGGATTGTTGCTGCGACCGGCTAATGCATTGACGACTTTCTTTCTACGCTCTTATGATCTTATCGGATGTGTAACCTTCATCCACCCAGCCACTAGTGTTCGTATACTGCACGTACAATTAACTGTTGGGGCAACTTGCCTTCTTGCTAATTGCTAGCGACCTGAACTCGTGCTATAAAATTTGCGGTCTGGCGAACAGACATACATACATACGTACAAAAAACGACGAACAAAGTACCAGTTTTATAGAACAGAGAGAAGGAGTAGAGTGACCAGGATCAAGTTGAATCACGCTTAATAGTTATCATTGGAGCCTGGCTTGCCGGTACTACTAAGCAATAGGCCGGCCCGACACGTAATATGACACTCAAGAAAGCATATCCAGTAATGACAGCTTGCTCCAATTATCAAAGTCGAGCTATCATTAGTGTCACCTAGTCGTCAGGTCCACTGCTTAACGAACCCTTCGAATTTTCACGACAGTGAAACCCAATAACACTCAGAGCAGGGAGGACCGCGTCATGCTCGTTATCAGTCTTCCTTATCAGCTCTGGTCATCACGTTTATCAGCGTTATCACTAGCTGTCATGCTTACCAGGTACGCGCCCAGCTCCCCCATACACGCAGGTAAGGTATTAACTTTGCCATTGTACTGCGACCCGCGGCTACTGCATTTGACGTCGTTTCCTCTCTACAGAGTGAGCCCCTAAATCTACAGTCGTATCACTTGCTCGCTTTAACAACTGGTAGAAGACGGTTTGGCTTTGCGCCAGATTCAACCCGCCTGACACGCCCAACCTTCCGCAGGGAACTACACTATACAGCGGACCAGGGGAGCTACACTATACAGCGGACACACAAATTACTAGTTTATAGAATAGAAGGATTTCGAGTGATTCTCAAAGCATATCTGGCCGCGTGATTGGATATTTCTTTCTAGGTTGTTGCGAGTGGACGGCTTTTCACGACACAGTTTTGCTCCTCCTATCAGTATGCCAAAGCCGATGCCTCACGAAAAGAAGCTTAAAGAAGTACGTATCTCTCTCAATGTTCACTATTGCCAAGTATAGTGGTGAGGAGGCCAAGTATAGACATTTCCATTTTTAGTTGAATCTTATCAATGGCCTGTTTTACGCCGTGGGGATCCGGCCAAATCGTTCCTTAACCTTGGATTCTGTCCAAGTTGGAGCGCCAAATCCTGGAGGCGAAGAACTCGATTCGCGTTGTCTGTTGACTTTCGCTTACTGGATGCATCTGATTGGAAAACAGTCGGCGTCTAAGAAGACGGCTAAAGTTCTGGAGTGAGTTTCTGTGATTGCGTGTAAAAGTTGCGACGGCTGTATTCAGCTTTGGTAGCCAACTCATTTATTGCAGAGACATATGTCCAGAATCGTCTTCGTCAGCTTTTCTCGTTGTGGACAAAGACTGCCGGATAGGTGAACTTTCAACTATTGCACTGGAGAAAGCCTTTCTGGCCGTGAGAGAGGAACTCCAAAATCTCAAGAGCTTCGAAAATTACAAAGAAAGCATAATAGCGAAGAGAAGTGCTTAACTTGTCAATTTCTCGCACTGCTCGGCTCAGAACGACCCCATTGCCCCATCGTGCTGTTGTGCATCACAACAGGACTAAAGAGGTCGTTTGCCACTCTTGTTTGTTTTCAGGAGGCACGGGTCATGATCGTGTTTTTTTGGCCTTCAACTTTTTGTTGTTTTGTTCTTCTAATCATATATTGACTCGTTCTGAGAACTCAAATTTCTGTACAGAGTGGTGGGCACTAAATTCAGGGTATGGCGCGGGAGATTCACGTTTTAGCGATGCGGCGAGTGCATCTGTTTCTATGATGTCTCGTGCGCGGCATTCGCACCAGAACCTAATTAGTTTAACATGGAAGTTGTGCAGTTTGTTCAGTCGGCGAGTCGACTGGGTCAAGGCACAACTTCTAGTTGCTTTCTATCGCCGCAGCGTGAATCTCCCTTACCGAAAGAGCTTCAAGCCGTTTTTAAAGTTACCGTTCAACAAGACGGTGTTTGGATGTCGCAACCAAATATATGGGCTCAGTAGGGGGGGGGGCGTCGAAGGGCATCCCGCTAGTTTCCTACTTTTTACAGTTCTCTCACCTTGATGGGACCTATGAACTCTCGTGAAGCTGCAAACTGGTATGGACACCATTACTGTTGGCTATCACTTACACGTACAGTGTCCATATCTAGAGAACGCTCGCAAAACAACCCCCGAACGCGAACGGGTGGTCAACTGCAGTGTTACCTTGCAGCTAGTCCGCCTTACTAGGAAGATATCAGTCGAGAGCAGCCATAATTCTCTCGTGGGCAGCTAAGACGGCTTGGCTAAGGAAAGGCGAACAATCAGTGGTGGGGTCCGGTTATAGCAAGGAGCGTGGGGTATCAGGAAGCAGCCGACTTTTATTGTTTGGAGACATTCCAATAGTCTTTCGCAAATTTTTCGGGGGGCGAAACGGTGTTTGGTCGTCACCCTAAGAGTTTGGAAACATAGGACGCCTAGTTAGCCTCTAATTTAATCGAGCCGCGGATCGTAAATTTGGTTGCGACGCCTCCGGCCATTTTCAGTTCTCAGTCCAGTTCCATTTTCCAGAACATTTTTTCAGTTAGCAGTTGCGAAAGTCAGTAACTGTTTGTTTCGTGCATTTTCGAAAGTTTTAAGTCTGTACATATGTTGGTATTCCTTATGAATTGTTTCTACGAATTGTTTCTTAACACTGTTGTTGAGTTACCCTGTGTAGGCCTTTTATTCGATGTATCTCACTTTTATGTGTACCAGTTTCCATTTAATCTAATACGGGATTGTTTCGTTACATTACTCTCTACTACTATGAAGCCTTAGAATAGATTTCATTGTCCTGTTTCTACTACGAAAAAGTTCTCGCATAAGTTACGAGTATTTTGAACGCAGCGACACGGTTCATATGATTAGTTCTAGCCAAGTCGAACCCAAGAAAGGTAAGGGAGTGCAGTCGTGGCCTGTTTAGTGGTCATTTCGTTTTATTCATCGCTCCAGGTATCGTTCTGGATCCACGCATGAAGACGGAAAATACGGCTTTTCTTGAAGGCACGCTGCGCGCTAGCATGATGCTCTTATGCCTCCTTTGCACATGGAAGTCCTGTAATGAAGGATGTATTACGTTCGCAGCTCAAAAATGCGTGAAGAAAGCGCGACCCGCTCGTGACGAGGTCACGGTACCGCCCACCGACTACGGCAACGCCCAGGTTTCATTTCTAAAAGCCTGGTGGTGCGGTTGCTCCGCTGCTACCTCTGCATTTCGAGTGGTGAGAGTGAGGTGATAAAGGAAAGAGCCGCTCCCAACAGGTGAGAACTCGTCCGACCACGCCCTTTATTCGCCTTATGCACGTACAAACGCGGTTTGGCATAGGGTTCTATATAAGGCATTTCGGACTGGCTTTTTTTTCCTGCTTTTTGTTCACTTTTGTGCTATTCACCATCTTTTTATTGGTATTTGAGCTGCACAGTTGACCATCTGGAATGCGAGGGCGTGTCTTCAACAGCAACACACCCTTACTTGCGCGAACTTCTGAGCTTAAGCCTCGGCCTCGCTGGTCAATACGAAAGTCGACATCATCTGCTCTGACTTC